GGTCAGGTGGGGTGCCCAAGTTTGGGGGGAGCTGGAAGGCCTCAGGGTCTAAAGTTCGGGGGAGCAGGAGGTAGGTGTGCGGGGGACTGAGAAGGGGCAGCCGGGGACGGGCTGGGGACCACGGGGTTGATGCCCGGGGCTCCCCTGGGATCCTGCTTCTCAGCCCTTTCCCTCCCCCGAGCCTGGCCTGAGCGGCCCTCTCTGGACTGTCCTTTCTCTGCACAAACTCCGGCTCGTCCCCTGAAACTCTGAGCGTCCAGAGCGCCGTGGACCCTGGGGACAGCTGACTGCCGTCCTCCGTGGCGGGAGCAGCCACCCCGAGCGATGTGGGGGAGGAGGCGGGGCTCGGGCGGGTGCTGGTGCTGGGTCTTCCGGTGTCCCCTAGACAGAGGTGCCCTGCGGCCGAGCGCCCCACGCGCCCCACAGGTGCAGGGAGTTGGCTCATCGCCGCCTCAGGCCCTGCAGCTCTCAGTAAACAGGGAGCAGCGCTGGAACCAGGCCTGCCTGCCCTGAGACCTGCCCTACCTGCTCCGCTTTCCTGCCCCTGGACAAAGTAGCTCCGTGCCCAGCAGGCAGAGCTGCCCAAACAGACCCAGGTGGCACTGCCTGGGCAGTGAGGGGGTGGGGGGCTTCCAACAGCAGGTAGCAGGGAGGCCTGGGGATCGGGAAGCCTCGGGGGCTGGTGGCCGAGGGCCGGGCCGTGAGATGGGCGCTCGGGGAGGTGGAGGGAGAGTCTCTACCTGACGGAGCTCACGGGCGCCGAGGGGGACAGCAAGTTGGGGGGAAGGGAAGGGGTCAGCAAGTTGGGGGGCAGCATCTCCCCAGGGACAACGAATGCAGATGCGAAAGCAGCGGTTTCGAAAACTTTGCCGTAACGCGGGGCGCTCTCTGGGCCAGAAAGCTGAAAACCCAGACACTCGCTGTGCATGGCGGGGGGCGGAGGGGCTGCTGGGGCCGCTGCCCACCCCGGGCTGGTGCGGGCGCTGGTGATGGGAAATTGACAGAAGAAGGAAACCGTGGCTGCGGGGGGCCGAGGAGGAAGGAGGCGCAGCAGGGTCTGTCTGGGCTGACGGTGGCCCTCGGCTCAGGGACGGAGCAGGAAGGAGGCCCTGAGCTCCGGGACCTTTCCGGCCTCTTAGGCAATGTCCGCCGTAGTTGGTGGGGGAGGCGGCTTCCTCCAGAAAAAGAACTGGCTTTTCTGTCTGAAAGAGGGGGTCCGGTCCTCTGAGCGGGTGGAGCAGACTGCCTGGACTCGGCCGGGCCTGCCAGTGACCACTCTGTGCCTCAGTTTCCTCGTCTGGAGAATGGGGACGGAGCAAATAAGTGGCTGCCAGGACGCGGCAGCAGGTCAAGAGGACAGAGCCCTGGTTCTTAGGTCCTGGGGCGGGAACACGAGCCTCGGGCTGAGCACTCACGCGGCCCAGCTGGGCTCAACAGGCGGCTGTGACTGGAATTCCCTCCCAGGACCAACCCGCTGGGCTAGGCCTCCGCCTCCGCTCCTGCCCTGAGAGGCCCCCCCCAGCAGCCTCGCCTGCCTCCTGGGGAAGGGGCTCCCTCCAGGGGGGAGGTCAACGCCCCAAGCCCCACTGCGTGCCCAGGGCCCAGCCAGGCCCCCTGCACCACCCCTCACACCTCATCGCCACCTCTGTCCGGGGCCAGCAGCCCCCCCAACAGCAGCAAGCGAGGCCTTTCTGTGGCCCACCAGGTACCCCCAGTCCGGAAGCCCCGATTCTGAACAAACGCCCTCCTGGGGTTTCAGCAACCCACGTGGACGAGACGGGACAGCTGGGGAAAGAGGACGCGCCGTCCCGTGTGAGCCGGCGGGGCGGGAGGGGCCAGGGCCCCACGGGGGATGCGGACGCGGGGGCGGCTGGAGTTTCTGACCCAGCTGGCACCCCAAGGATGTGAAACCCCAGCCCTCTGGGAACATTCGCTGCCTTCCAAGTTCCTTCCAGTCATGGAAGCCTCCTCGGCGTTTGATGTGACGCCAAGGGAGCCAGGGCTTTGGTCTCCTTTCTGTCTCGGGGTTTTCTGGCATTTCTCGCTTTGGCTGGTGTCCGCCCTGAGAAACCACACGCCAGGGCTCTGGCCCAGGCGCCGGGAGGAGGGTTCTGGGGCCGAGGGACTCGGGCTCTCGCAGGGGAGGCAGGAGGCCTGCGAAGAACTGGAGGCTGTTCTGGAGCGGGGGGGTGGGGCCAGCTCGTTGCTGAGCAGAGGCCACGGGCTGCAAGGGCCCAGAAGGTCACAGACCTCGCGCGGCTTTAGGGGTCACTGTCATCCTTACTTTGCAGTTGCCTCTGTCTCCGGTGACCTTTGTGCTTTGTCCACCACCTCCCGGCCTGGCCCAGCGTGGCTCCTCCGGGAAGCCAGCCCCGCTGCTCCCTCCCCTGCAGTTCATCTGGGGCTGTGTTATCACGACTATTGTTTGTGTGATTGTGCAATTATGTGTAGCTGAGGTTAAACTGTTCTCAGGCCCTGGAGCACAAGGGAAAAACAACTTATCTAACTTTGTAAGGCTTGGATTGCTGTTTATCTGCAGATGGCCAGCCTGGGCAAGAGAAGCAGCTAAGCCCAGGCAGCTGGGTCTGGAGATGGCCCAGGCAGGGGAAGGGGATGGGGGAGGGGGAGGGAGGGGTTGCTGGGTGATACTCAAAACCCCAACCAGCTGCAGACAAGCCTCTCCTGCTTCTGTAGGGGTTGCCCCGCAGCCAGCCTGTGGCTCCGCTGAGGTCCACATTCCCTTGCCCTCAGCGCGCTCGTCAGCCAATAGGAATCCAGTCCTTTGTGCTCAATCCAGCTCCAAAACCTGTACAACCTCGTTCCCTTTCTTGGGCGGGGAGGCCGGCTTGAGCCTGGGGGCCTCAGAGGGCTGAGGCCTCCCTCCTCCACTGAAGGGGCATCCCTGCAGGGACGCTCAGAGCCTGATTCAAATCGGCCCCAAGCCACAGGGAGGGAAGCACTGCCGTGTGGACCGAGCCCTCCCTGGCCACAGGTGTGCAGCGGAGAGCTGCGCCTTTCCTGTCAAGGGGGCCGGAAAGAGGGGCCCCCATGGCCTGCAGAGCCAGGGCCCAGCCCCCCGGGCTCCTTACATCAGTCAGGGCCCCTGAGGTCTCAGGCCACCCCAGGTCGCCGGCTCTAACAGCCCCAGCACTTCAAAGGGGGGCGCCCAGACCAGCAGCCTGAGCGTCTCCCAGAGCTAGGAGCTCGTTTATAAATGCAGAATCCCAGGCCCTATGCCACGCAGACCAGAATATGCAAATCTAATGAGCAAATCTAATGAGACCCCAAGGGGATTTGAGTGCCTGTGAGCGCAGGAGATGCGTAAGCCGCCCCTTCTGGGAAGTTCAGGAAACCCCTGGAGGTCTGAAGGGCCAGAAGGACCTTCTCACAGGTGAGAAGCCAGCGGGACAGGCGGGGTCCCTGAGCTCCACACTGAAGTGTCTCCCCGCAGAGACCCCAGAGCCTGAGCACCACCCACGAGCTGGGCGAGCTCCTTCCTCCCGCAGCCCGGTCCTTGACCCCACCCTGCAGCACAGCTCCCGGCCCCCCACCCGCATGGGGGGTGTGAAAGGGGGGGGCCCAGGGGCGCAGAGGCTGAGTGCAGGAAGGGGCCGAGCTGCAGCAGCTGACCTCCCTGCCCACGCCGGGCCTGCGTCAGGGCAGCTGGCGCCACTGAGGATAGGCTGGCTCCGCGGTGCACAGGGCGGTGCAGAGAGTAAAAATGAGGGGGGCAGGGGGAGAGAAGAGGGCGGGGGGTGGGGGCTCTCCAAACCTCGGCACCAGGAGCGCCATTCCCCAGTGGTTCTCAGACCCCGGCAGCTGCCAGCATCACCCAGAGAGGCCCGGGCAGTGGCAAGGGGTGAGGCCCAGGTGTTTATATTGACCAATTCCCAGGCTCCGGGAAACACCATCCTCAGGGCCGGGCCGATGGGCATGTAAGGTCGGGACTGTGCGTGGCCCGCGCCCCTCCTACCCCCTCCTCGAGGTGGAGACCCGTCACCCCTCCGTCCCCAGGAGCCCGCACAGCCCCCCGCAGGACCTGCTCAGTCAAAACTTGTCAAACAGCTGAGCCAGGCTGCCTCTCGTCTCAGGCACGATCGATGGGCGATTATGCAATCAATAGGCACAAGCTGAGTTAAGTGCATCTTATTAATTATTTAAGTCATTAATTATTGAGAAGGTCACTACCTGCTAGCTCTGTAAGGATCATTAGCTAGCTTGGTTCCGCTCCACAAGGACACAGCAATGGTTAGCTGAGCACCTACTATGTGCCTGGAGTTTAATCTTAGGACAACGATGTGGGGGGAGGGTCCATTCCTGCTCTCCCCTCCTTCACAGGATTGAGGGGTCAGAGGGTGGAGGAACTCGCCTGGCAGCACGGAGCTGGGACCCTGCCAGGCAGGCCTGGACTGGACAGTCGTCACTCTGCTGGAGATTTGTGTACCTGAAGGCAGGGGCTCTGGGGTGGATCTTGAAGGCTGGGCTCAGCACCCAGCATTGGGGGTGATCTGCCCAAGTCCCACAGACCCACGGGTGCAGCTCCACCCCCACAATCTGAACCCTACACACAACCCCTGGGCTTGGGCATCTGCCCTCCTTGCCTTGGTCCTGGCCAGCTGCACAGTGGAATCCTCCAAAATGCACAGACCCCCCCTCCAGCTCTGCACCGCCCAGGCACCCCCTGGTTGGGTAATACCCCACTTGCTATTGACCAGACCCAGGCAGACATGAGAGGTACAGCAGGTAAAGGAAGGGTGACTTGCCTCTGTTGGCAGACACCCAGCAGGGTTGACCCTGAGACCTCACCTCTCTGCCAGCTTCCTTCCTTCCTTCCTTCCCCTGAGTCATCACTGGTTGTCTCGATGCCCTTCTGTGACTCCCCGTGAGGACTTAAGGGGCCCAGCAGTGTGTTATTTTCTGACGTTAAACTGAAAAAGCTTTTCCCCCAGGCCCCCTGTTCTTTGGCCAAAACAGGAAAAGTTGGAAAATCATCCACTTTCCCCTTTTGCCTTGGCAGCCAGGAAACCCACAACTCCATTTAATGCTTAGTGGTGGCAGCCCTCACACCAGCCTCTAACTGCGACACATTTGCAAAGTTTGCATCTAAGCTCTGTTTCTACCTCTCACTTCAACTTTCCTGTCCAGCATGGGTGGTTACTATGGACAACTTCAAATCCTTCTTGGCAAACAAGATAAGCAAAACATCAAGTGACCAACGAGTCAAACACAGCAATAAGCATGGTCAGGTGTGTTGTAAGCTCATCAAAGACAAGGGACCCAGGGCGGCTGGGCCTCGCCGCGACCACTCACCAGGCCGACGAGCTCTGGAAGGTCAGCAGCAGCGGGCTGTGGGTGTCTCCCTGCAGCGTGTGCATGGCCTGGGGCGCTTGTGGCTGGGGGCCCGGGGGAGGCTGGGGCTGCGGCTGCGGTGCCCGGGCAGGGTTGCCCCACCGCCGGGGGTCCTGCTTCATCCACCGTCCATGGATGCCCCACCGCGCCAGGTAAACCTTGCAAATGTCGTAGTTCATTGCCGAGTAGTACAGAAGATCCAGGACCAGCAGCATCAGCACGAAAAAGCCGTAGATCCACACTCCCAAGAGGGCGGTGTAGTTGCTGGGGAAGGACAGAGAGACTGAGCGGGCTGGACAGGCCATGCTGTGGAGTAGAGAGTGCAGGGCTGTGTGGGGGGCCCAGGGAGCAGGGGCGTGCGTCTGCCTCCTCTCAGATCCTGGAGTCCACTGCCCAGGACCCTGCACCCCACTGAGCATCTCCCCTAGGACCCTGGATGGGGACCTCAGTGGACCCCATGCTGTCAGGTGGTTTCGAAGGGACTTCAGACTCATGAACACCTGCCCGTTCCCCCACCCCCGGCTCGGTGCTGCTCGAAAGTTCTAGCCGCGTCTGCTGTGAGTGCCCCCTGCTCGCCACCCTCTGGGCCTTTGCTCATTCTGTGCCCACATCCGCACCAGGCCCTGGCACCGGCTGCCTCCATTTCCCTGCGTCCTTCCTCCCCTGCCTAACTCCCACCAGCCCCTTTCGAGGGCCACATCCTCCGAGAAGCCCTCTGGACATGCTGTCACACCCACATGGCTGGGCAGGCCCCTCAGGCCCCTCAAGCCGGGGCCGTGTCCCAGCCCATGTCTGTTGTCCCTCACCCCAGGCCAGGGTGAGTGTCCCTGCTCAGGTGCCTGGGGTGGAGGGGCTGCGTGCTCCAAGCGGTGCCAGCCAGGGGCTGTGGTTGCCAAAGGGCCCAATTTACTAATCATTCCCGGGGCCTCTGTAGCCCCCGCCCCTCCCCACAGGTATTGGCTCCGGTGGGTGCGACGTGGTGCAGAGAGGAGGCTCCTCTGAGGCCGAGCAGGATCCAGGCTGGCACCACACCTCCCATGGGGGCAGGGGCACCTGCCTGGCTCCCACTCAGACTGGGTCCTGTGTTCCTCTGCAGGTCCCTGAGCCCCTACGAAGTCAGGGAGCACAGGCCTGGGCCGGGGACCTGGTTCTGGTTGCTCCTTGGCCCAACTCTGCTGTTTGATCTGGGCTGTGAGTGCTAAGGTGTGAATGACTGACAGCAAGGTCTCTAGTTGCCTTATTTCAAGGGCAAACTGGCTTTGCCCAGAGGCATCTGGATGTGGAATTTCTGCCAGGGAACAGGGGCCAGCAGTGCTGGGTGGACAGAGGAGTCCAGGCTCCAGTCCCGACCCCTCCTGTTTCCCCCATAGCTGAGCCCTTAGCCCCCACAGAACTGCTGTGAGCTCCAGGCTTTTCCTCAGTGGTTCCCATGGCAGCAGCTGCGGGGGCTGAGGAAGGGGTGCAGGAAGGGGAGGCAGGGTAGCTGTTTGCAGATGTTGCCCCATGGAGACAGAGTCTGTGACACCTGCTGGCAGAGTGGCTAGACCCGGCCAGGCAGGGAGCCCCGGGACGGGGAACTAATGAGGTCAGCAGTGGGGGGCATGACTCCATGCGCTTCAACATAGCACCCCCTCTCCAAAGACACCAGAAGGAAGCACCCCTGGGGTCATCACCATGCCCCTTTCACAGGCAGAAAACTGAGGCTCTGAGGAGTTAGGACTCTAAGTCCACACAGCTAAGGGGCAGAGCCAGGATGGCAACCCAGCAGTCTGGCTCCAGGGCACATTCTCCTGAGCCACCGAGCTGCATAGCCCAGGGTGGTCGCCAGCCTGGTCCTGAGAGGAGCTGGTCCCAGCTCAAAGGCGCCTCCTGGCCTGCCCTCCTCCTCTGCCTGGAACTCACACCTGACCTCCCATGCACCCAGCTGCCTGGACCCCATGTCTTAGCTTAACTGTCACTTCCTCCGGGAAGGCTTCCTTGATGTCCCGAGTCAGCTGGTGACAGGTAGCATTGAGAGTGATAACTTCGTCACTAGATTCTATCACTGACGTGCATGTTCACTAACGGTAGTAAGATCAGCTCACACTATGCCAGGCCTGTGTTTCCGAATCTTTGCAACAAACCCACTGACAAATGAGGCGCAGAATGGCAAAGTCATGGGCCAAATCTTCCCAGCTGGGGAGTGACTGCACTGGGTTTGGCACCCAGGCCCATGTGACCACAGAGTTTTGAAATCAGGGAAATCCCAAGGTCAAGCAAGTCTAGGATCAATGTCTAGGGAGGGATTCCCCCACCTGCTTGGTGAGCCTGCTGGCCTAGGCTCACCTGCAACCAAGAATCAGGGACGGGGCCCAGGGGCCGCCAGGCATTTGGGCATTGCCATGGCCACACGTGCTGGCTCAGGGCATTGCGGTCCTCTGAGCTTCTGGTTGGCATTTGGAGGGAGGGGGAGTGGAGATGAGCTGCCACCCGCCTCCGCTCAGAGGAGGGAGGGGCTCACATCCCCACCCCCCATCCTGCAAGGGAGACCACCCTTGGTGGCAGCGGCTGGGACGCCCAGGCCGTGGACACTGTCCCCAGGCAGTTGCTCTGCCTTGCTGGCCACGCCCCCGATGCTGGCTGCTGGGCATACTCCGGCTTTTCAAATTTAATTTTTAAAATGTGATCTGGAAATTAATTTCCTCCAGATGCAGGGGTCTTTGCTGTGCGTGTGCTTTGCAAATGGCAGAAGATAAAATAGAGGCAGTTTTATGAGCAAGCGTGAAGCCAGCCAAAGCCACCAATAGCGATTTTTCAGAGTATTTGGGATATTTACTGGTTCAAATTCTTTTGGGGTCTCCCACGCAACAAACAAAGCCTTCTCTGGTGGCAGAGTCTCACTGGACCCCTCTGGGCTTGGCGGCAGCGGGACACGGCAGGACTGGGGCGGGTCCCCCCACCCCAGAGTCGTCCCCTGGAGGCCTTCGGTCAGGAAGGAGCCCGGCCGCGCGCTGCGGGGCTCACGCTGGCTGGGTGGGCTGGGAGGGGTCAGGCTGGCCTCACCCACGCACTCATCACGAACCCCCTCTCAGTGGCCTGCGCTGGCCGTGGCAGCCGATCGTCCCGGCCACCGGGGTCTGGGCCCAGTCAGGGGGCGAGAACGCCCACCCCAGCTCGGATCTCGGAACCTCCTTGCTCCCCTCGTCCGTCACGCGGGACAGCGGCTCTCCCCGCCTGGCGCGTCATCCTGCGGCTGGACAGGGTTCAGTGAGGGCCCGGAAAAGAAGGGCTCGGAGCCACGCAAGGCCACACCAAGGGACCAGGGTGTCCGGGGCAGCAGAAGAGCGTTGGGTTTGGGCCAGTGACGCAGAGCCCTTCACATGGCAGCACCTCCCCCCAGCCCTGGCTGAGCCTGTCCCTCCCTGGACCCCTTGGGGGTTTCTGGACGCCCGTGGGGTGGTGGGGGCCCTGCCACAGTCCTCCCGCCGTGTCCTGCGGCCACCGAGCCCAGAAGACCCATCCCTGCGCCTCTTCCCACCCCGTTGCCAACAGCTCAGCCCAAGGGCGGCTCTGGTGGCAAAACATGAGCAGAAATGCCGTGGCCGTGGCCGAGGGGCTGTGACCAGGCACGCCTGAGCTGGGGGTGGGGCAGGGCCTCATCAGTTGGGTCATGGAGGGTCCACGCAGAGCCGCAGGGGACCCAAGGGCCGTGAGTGTGAGCCCGGGGACTCGGGGGCGCCAGCGCCTGGCGTGACCAGGCCGGGCGGTGGACACAGCTGTGCTGGCCCCTGGGCCGCAGGTTACACCCTCTCCGGCATCAGTCCTGTGTCGTGAGAAGGAGCCAGCTCGGCCCCTCGCTGCCCGGGCTCAGGGTGCCCGACCCTCCCCCACGGCGGCGGCGGACTCAGGTCAGGCGCGGATCCGAAAGCCTCTTCGTCCACCAGCGGACTGCGGGTAGGTTTACACCCAGCCAGGCCCGGTGCGGTTGAGCATTTGGAAATTTCTGGTCCTGCTCGGGGGCTGGCCTGCAGCGCTGAGCACGGAACGTCTGGGAGGAGGGAGTGAGGCCACGGGAAGAGCGACAACCGTGTGCCTCCCCCAGGCCTCTGCGGCCACTTCCACCTCCCTGCAGCCCCTCTCCCCCTCTCTGAGCCTGAAGGGACCGCCAAGCAAGGGCAGGGCTGCAGGCCACCCGCCACCACCAGGGAGGCCTCCCAGGTCTCCAGACAGAACTGGCCGCTGAAGCCGCCCACCCTATCCACTGGGGACCAGGACAGAGCCCCTGCCTGTCCAGGGGCCTGGATGTGAGTCGCCAGGGCGGAGGTACAGGGAGGGGGAGCAGTGTGCCTCCGAACACTGAGGCCTGTGGGCAGCACGGCGGCGGGCAAGGCAGCTTCCTCGCTCTGCCAGGCAGTCAGAACCAAAACAAACATCCTGTTCCTCCCGCAAACACAAATGCAGCCGTCACCTGACGCGCTCTCCTCCCGCTCTGGCCCAGCCTCCTGGGCAGCCGCGGGCAGGGTGGGTGGGGTGGAAGGAGCCAGGCGGCCCTCGCTGCTGACCTGCCCTGGGCTCCTCACGGAGCCCCCCGGGAGCACGCTGCGCTGGTCCTCTCCTCGGGCCACAGACGGCCGAGAGCCTGCAGGGTGCTGGGGTGTCCTGGCTCTGTGAACCACCCTGGGGGCAGGGTCCAGTGGCCAGGACCAGGGCTCCGGGGTCCTTTGGGTCTGCACCTCGACCAGCACTGGCGACCCCACCAGCCTCCTCCTCCCTCTCAGAGTGGCCAGTGATGTAAGAACACAGGGGTCCTGGCCAGGGGGCCCCAGAGGTGGACTCCACATGCTCCCGCAGTCCCAGGCCATACAGGCCCCCTCACCGGCCATTCTGGCCTCTCCGCCGAGGCTCGCCCTCTGGGTGACCCCTCTCTGCCGTAGGCTCCTCCTGGATGCAAGGCTCCAGCCCAGCTTCCTGGTCTCCCTGGGCTCGGGAGCCACCTGGAAGCGGCTCTCAGGGCCTTTGAGCTGAGGTCTGGTTTGGTCATATCCAGGGTACCCTGGCCCCGTCCCTCCACGGGGTCCCAATGTTTCCCAGGTTGCCATCATGGCTTCTGGAGTGTCCCAGGTCCTGGCAGGCCTCACGCCAGCACCTTCCAGGCTACACAAACCAGCTTAAAGCCCTTGGGACCCTCGCTACCCTCAGAAGCAGTCCTTACGCCTCCCTCCACTGCCAGCCCAAGACACCCAAGCGCAGCCCACCTGCTCTCCTGCGTCTGCCAGGGCTCCCCTTCAACTCAGGCCACAGGGACTCTGCCCAGAGACGTTCCATCCTCTGGACTGCGGCGCCCACGCGCCTCAGAACCTCTGGGTGCGCGACAGTCAAGCCCCACGCTCTGCCAGGGGCGTCTGCATGAGGGGCACTCCCCACTGTGTGGGCGCTCTGTGACTGGGGCAGGCGCCCGCCTCTCTGGGCCTGTCGTGTCTGCGGGAAGGGGAGGGTGTGGAGCTCCCTGGAGAATAACTGGGAGGAATCCCCCCAGCGTGGAGGCTCAGAGGGGGCCATCCTGCACCCCCATCCTTGGCCATATGGGAACACTACTGGTTGTCACAGCTGCTGGCTAAAAGCAGGGGGAGGGAGGAGGCTGAACACCCCATAGTGTCCAGGGCAGCCGCGCCTACATGGCTGGGGCCCAGGCGTCTCCCTTCTTCAGCTCAGGTTGCTGACATCGGGGGGTGGGGGCAGATCTACCAAAGTGGTTTCCAGAACTGGGGGGACTCTTGGCAGCTGCCTTGAGCAAGCAAGTTACTCAGCTCGCCTAGCGCCCCCTCCTCGTGTGTAAAACAGGCTTTGTACGTGCTCTGAGGCACGAGGATGACATGCGGCTAAGCCTTTTCCCCAGTTCCGTCCCTCCCCAGGGGAGGCCTTTATATGGGGGCTAACTTCATCGTCAGCCGTGGGGACCCTCTGTGCTGCTGGGCCGGAGCACTCCGTGCGAAATCCTGTGCAAACGTGCAGATTATAGAAACCTGTGGGCTTGGGACGAGGATCCCGGCACCAGCCGCCCGGGCTCAAGCGAGCTTGTCTGCCCTGCCAGCCTTCTTTGCCGCTGGCTTTGGGCTGGCAGCCAGGACACGCTGCCACCCAGGTCTTGACCCAGCCCCGGCACCGCCTCCTCCCCAGGGATCCAGTCTCTGGGTGCAGAAGGCTTGGGTCAGGTTCCAGACCCGATTGCGCGCTGGGAGGGGCTTGCTGAACAGCTTCACACACAGAATTATTCTAAGACCTGAGCAGATGGCAAGATATTCAGGGGAAGCACCCGTGCATGTGAGGAAGGCAGGCTGGGGAGCCAGCCCTGGGGAGGAGGGGGGATCTGGACCAGTCGGGAGTCGATACCTCTTAATTGACCGGAGGGGAGAGGTGGCTCCCCAAGCGAGTGAGCACTGCATAATGGCAAAGCCTTCGAACCCCAACATCAGAGATTGGGGCTTGGACCCCGACCCCACCACCTTCCCATGGGGCTTCGAATACCTTCAACAGTCACTCAACTAAAACACCTTCCACGTGGATTCGTTTTACTGTAAAAAATATACATCCATCCCAAGAGTCAGCCTCAGGCTTACTGGGGAAATATCTGGAGCCCTCCCATAAATGTCAGGAAGAAAATAAGATTACCCCCAAATTTTACAGATGGGTTTAGAGGCACTAGCCAACATGACTGGACAAGAAAAACAAGATTGGAAAATTGGAAAGTGGGAGGTAATGTTCTCTTCTGCAAATGGCATAATTAAATCTAAGAGAATCAAGTGAAAAGATAAGAAATCTCAGTAAGGTGGCTGAGTATAAAATTCATATAAAGAGGAATTAGGTTTTATTGTCTAAGCAATAGTCACTGAGACATCTCAGAAGATCTTGTGGAAGAAAGGACCTTATCTAGAACAGAAAAATAAAAAAGGAAAATTGCAAACAATATATATAATATCTATAGGGAGAAAACCCTAAAATGTTATGAAAGAAAATTGAAAAAAGTAGAAAGACATACCATAGCCTTGGACAGGAATATTCAACATGAATTGTCAAGCCTCCTTGAGTTAATCCATGAATTCAAGACACTCTCAGTAAAACACACTAACTGGACTTTTTTGGGGGGAGGGGAGACCCTAATTTCAATTCTGAGATTTATATGACAAAAGAGCCGGGGGAAATAGACCAAGAAGACATTAAAACACAGCAAAAGCCACAGTCGTTACCATAGTGAGGGGCTGGCACTTGAGTGACAGGTCAATGTTTGCCGTGAGAAAGCACCCATCTCCCAGACACTCAGTGGCCCACTCACAGCATGTGGAAAGTTTGCGTCCAGCATTGATGGGGAACAGATGTGTAATTCGATGAATGGTGTTGGCTACTCATTTGGGGGAAAACAGTTGGATACCTACCTCGAAACTTACACCCCTCCCAAGAAGTTCCTGATGATGAAAGATTTGAAGGTAAATTTTAAAACAAACGAAGGAAGAGAAAAATGAGGGACTTTCTAATGATCTCAGAGTAGGGAAAGCCTCTGCCAGTATGATACAAAACCCAGAAGACATAAAAAAATGAACAAAAGCTAAGCATAGAAAAGGCATCACAAATTCAAAGACATGCCCAGAAAATATATCTGGGTCTCATATATCCTTCATATATAAAGAGTTCTTATAAACAAATAAGAAGCCACAAATTCAAAAGGAAAATGGCCAAGGCTGTAAGCAGCTCGCTTACTATAGCAGAACTACAAATGTTCTCAACCATAAAGAGAAGCTCAGCTTCACTCTCGAGAGTCGGTGCTGTGTCCACCCTCTGCCTTCACTAAGCATATTCCCACGGCCACTGCTACAAACTCCTTTCTTCACCCTCGAGTTCCCCTCCACCAGGGCCCTGGTGTATTAATCCCTTCCAGAAGGGGCTGCGTAGGGGTTACCTGAGTCCAGGTGTCAGTCAACATTCGTCGAACAGAGTGAAGGAAGGAACACGGGGGGTGCTCCAGGCCCACGGCCCTTCCACCCATTTCACTTTAGAGCCTGAGACATGGGCACGATCAGATGAGATAAGGCTAGCGCTCAGCGGGCAGAGCAGGTGGGAAAACTGGCCACCTGAGACCCCCCAGGCCCTTCCAGGCCCTCCCATCCTCGCTGTGGTTCCCGACCGTGCCCAGGGAACGGGGGGGGGGGGGGCGCCGGCGGGCACTTACTTGTGCGCATAGCCCTCGGAGCCAGCCGTGAGGTTCGCCTGCATCACCGCCTGGAATTCCGTCTCGTTGCAGCAGTATTTGAAGACCGTGTTGTTATGGTGACAGCAGAGGATGAAGGTTTTGTTGTCCGAGAGCCGAGGGCAGTGGAAGCCGAAGTGGTAGCGGCCTTTGTGGTCCGTGTACGGCTCACAGACCCGGAAATGTGCGGACAGGACTGGAAAACAGAGTCCCCGGCGGGAGGGGTCGGTTGGCACACCCAGCCACCCCGGGCCCGCCCCCCGTGTGTCCTAGGGCTGGGGACGGGTGACCTGTCTCCGTCCTGTCCTCTTCCCTCCCTCGTGACCGGTGCCCGCCTCGCCAGAGCTCCTGCCCCCGCCCAGAACTCCGGCCACCACACCCTGTTTACACCCATGCCCGGGCCGGTGCTGGCGGGCAGGGCTGCGGCATAAGCCTCGTGGGGGTCCCCTCAGGGAACCACGTTAACAAAAGCTCTGTTCCATCACAGCCTCCGCCCTAGCCCACCCGCCGCCACCCTTGCAGGCAGGTCCGGGACCTCACGTTACAGATGGAGAAACCGAGGCTCGGAGGCCTGAGCTGGTCAGTGGTGGTGGAACGGGAATCGAACCCAGCACGGGGCCCCGTGTTACCTTAGGACTGGTGGTGACCCGCGGGCCAGCCCAGGCTGTTCGGGGTATTGGGCAGCAGTGGGCAGGGAGCAGGTCCCCTCGTGGAGAGGACCTCGGTCACTAAGCCGGTGCCCGAGACCAGCCAGTCCCCAAAGGCCTGCCAGAGTCCCTCCCCCTGGCCCTCTGGGCACAGAGATGCCCGGCTGGGCCTCTCCTGCCCCAGCTGGCGGAGGGGGCCCCTATTTGGCCACCGAGGCCTCTGCAGACCAGGACTGTATTTACCGCCGCGCTGAGGGTGATAAACAGGAGCGAAAGCCTGAGCAAATAGAACAATGGAAAAAAACCTGGAGCTGCTGTCTCCCGCTTAATTAGTATCTTCATAAAAGGGATCCTGTATCTAATTTGTATCGCAGAAAAGGGGCTTCGAATACATTTTTCCAACCACAAAGGCACTGGTTCTGCAGAAGCTGGGTCTCTGCTGAAAGGCGATTAGACTACAGCCCACACAGCTCCGCCTGCCCGGGGCTGCGCCGGGGTCCCGTGGGCTGAGCTGCCGGTGGGCGGCGGGCGGCTGCGGTGCGGGCGGGCTTGGGCGGCCAGGAGACCCTGGGCCCGTCCCCATCGTCCGCACCCTCTGCGTGGGCACATGGGCACAGGCAGGACCACTCTGTCCCCGGGCTTCAGGGGCCCAGGGTTGCTGGGGTCCCCCTCCAGCCGTGGGACGCGAAGGACCTGCGACAGGGCTGTGGAGGTCACCAGAAGTGCCGAGGTGGGCGCCCCATCCCCCCGACCGCGTCACCCACTGCACAGAGGAGCAGACAGGCTCGGGGCGTGGCCCTGGCTGGCCGCGGCTGCTGCCCCAGAAAGCGTCAAGAGGCAGATTCTCAGGCACCTCCCGCTAGAGCCACAGTCTGTGTCTCGGCCAGGCCGGCTGGGGATGCCCGCGGGCTTGGGTTGGGACCTACTGGCCTCGAGGTACCAGCTGCTGGCGGCTGCAGGTGAGGGGCAGAGGCAGAGGTCAGTTCAGGGTTATCCAGTCTCTCTGCAGAGAAGGGGTGTGCAGGAGCCCTCTCTGGGGCTCACCCGGCCCGCTGGACAGTCGGCACTAAGTGGCCACTTGGCAGAGGAAGAGTGAGCAGGAGCCGAAGCAGCCCTGGGCCAGGGTGCAGGACCGCCGGGCGACCGGGGCCATCACAGCCTCGCCGAGTCTCCAGCCCCACCGGCAGAGGCCGGTCTCGGGGGGAGCGCTCCAAGGATACTGGGTAGCAGCAAAGTCCAGGCCCTACTTGGAGCGGGGGGAGTGCCGTGAGAGGAGAAGGGGTGCCCCTTCTGGCCTCCAGTCCAGGCAGCCTGGGCGCCCCGCCCTCTGCCAGGAGGCCAGTGGGTCCTGGGTCCCCAGGAAAGCCGGCCGCGGGGGAGCGGCGCCGAGCAGCCGGGAGGGGCTGTGCTCTTGGCGACGGCGCGCAGCCCTCTCTCGGGCCCAGGCCGGGTCCTGGCCGACGGCCGCCCGTCAGCAGCTGCGTGGCTGGCCGCTGGCCGCGCAGGCGGCGCATTTCTTCTCTGAGCCTCAGTTTCCTCATTTGTAAATGGGCAAAGAGTTCCTCTGTCCCAGGGGGCAGTGGGGCCCAGAGGGGCGGGAAGAGGGCTCAGGAGCAGGGCCTACACCCCTGGCCCCAGCGTGACCTTGGCTGTGGTGCCCCGGGAGCCCTGCCCCTTGCACCCCCCTCACGGCTGCCTCTGAGCCTCACGGCAAAGGCCGGAGCAGAGCGAGCCAGAGGGCGCGAGGGAGTCGGAGAGAGACAGAAGGAGACCGGGGCAGAGAGGGAGAGGCAGAGGCAGAAAAACACAGAGAGATGCAGAGAGAGGTGGAGAGGGCGGCAGGGAGACACAGGCCGGGCGAGACGGGGGCAGCCGCAGCGGGAGGCGGGTCGGGGGCGGGAAGGGCCGGGCCACGCCGCCTGCTCGGCCTCCTGCCCCAGCCCAGCTCCCCGGCGAGCCTCGGTTTCCACGCCTGGGCGGCGGGTGCCCACGACACGGGCTGACTTTGACCCGCCGGACCTGGCAGGGGACTCTCCAAGAGCTTTGCCCGGACTGGCCGGCAGGCTCACCCCACCTGTCAGCCCCCCCAGCCCCAGGAGGCTGGTCGTGACCCCGGGAAGGGACCCCAGCCCTCAGCCCGCCCCAGGCGCCCCCTCCCCGCGGGCTCTACCTGCCGAGAGCAGCACCGAGAGCACGGCGAGCACGTTCAAGGACTGCTGGCCACAACTGGTCATCGTTCGGCTGGCATCGGTCCTCCGAGAGCTGCCTGTTCAACGAGACCGGGGGTGGGGTGTGGGCTGCGCGCCTGCCTGCGGGGGGCACCAGCTCTGGCTCTGCGCCCCGGCGGCTGGGCAGGGAGGGTGGCCACACGCTCCAATTTCCTCTCTGGATGAGTGACCTTCCCCACCAGTCAGCCGCCACCTCCTTTTCTTTCTCGGCAAAATGAGACTTCAGGAGAGGACGGACCGCTCAGGTGGTGGAAATAACAGCGGGGAACCGGGACGGGCGGGTGCGCCGGAGACGCCACGGGGAGCCGGTGGGGGCTCGACCGGAGAGCGAGCGGGGGGCGGCCAGGCCCCCCCGCAGGCCTCAGGGGCCGGCACCTTGCAGGCGCAGGGGCACAGCCGTGAGCCAAACAGACACAACGTGGGGTGAAAGAGAAACTGTCCTTGCTCGGCTTGCATTCGTGGAGCACGCAGAGATGGACATTCAAAGTGCTCGTGGGCCCCAAGCTACACCCCAAAGCACCTAAATCAGGGACTCCAATGGCCACTGCACCCCCTCATTCACAGCAGCATGACGCGCACAGCAGAGGCAGCAGCCCCCACCCAGGGATGGACAATGGGTAAGCAAAGGGGGCCGTCCCCGTCCTGGAAGAGGGAGGGTACGCTGCCCTGTGCCCCACCCCAGACCGGGGGGCGGTGTGCTCGGCCACTGAGCCACACACAAAGGGGCAAGTGCCTGTCCAGCCCGAGGGGCCCTCGGAGGAGTCAAATTCACAGACAGAAAGGAGAATGGGGGCTGCCCCTGTCTGGGGTGCCAAGGGGAACAGGGTTTCAGATCTCGAGGGTCCTGGGGGTGGAAGGAAGTTAGGGCTGGACAACCGCGATGGACTTAACGGCCGGGAACTTACAAATGGTTGAAATGACACATGTCTGAGCTGTGTGTTAGCACAGGAAAGACCTGTGATGGGAAATACAACAGGGTGTGTGTGAGGTGCAGAGAGGGGACATGGGAGGGAGCCGAGGGTGGGAGTGGTCACCTCACTGCCAAGGTGACTGCTGGGCAGCAGCTCAAGTGAGGCAGGAGGGAGCTGTGCGGCTACCTGGGGGGGACGCTGCAGACCAGGGAGGCTGCCAGCGCAAAGGCCCTGCGGTGGGAGCAGCCAGGAGGCCCGTGGAGCAGGGGGTGGGGTGGGGTGCATAGCAGGCCAGCTGGGCAGGGCCTTAACCCTAGCGGTGACTTTACATGAGGCTCTTAAGCCTCAGGACAAACCTGAGGGGACAGGTCACCTCAATGTCCCTCCAGGGCCTGGGGACGGAGGTCAGGAGGAGATCTGAGTGGCCTCCATGCACACAGTGTGGCCTCGCAGAGCTCCAGGTGGGCTGAGCTGCATGGGGAGGGGGAAATTAATTTCCTGAGCACCTACTACGTGCCAAGACCTCGGTCAAATGAGGTCCTGCACACCAGCCTCTTCCCTCAAGCACCTTCCCTACACCTTTATGGTGTGGATTGGGTCCCCCAAGGTCTCCTGCGGTGGTCCGGGCTCCTGAGCCTCGCAGTGCCCCTTACCTGGACATAAGGCCCCTGCAGATGCAGCTCATCTTGGAGTGGAGCCTAAGCCAGGGACCGGGCGTCTTACAGAAAGGGGAATTTGGCCCAGGCAGCATGCAGGGAGGAGGCCCTGTGGAGCCGGAGGTGGCAATGGGGTGATGAGCCCCCTGGCCAGTAAACCCCAAAGATCACCAGCAAAACACCAGAAGCTGGAGGGGAGCCCAGGCCAGTCCCCGCGGAGCACCCAGAGGAGCAGCCCCGAGCACTGTCGTCTGAAGGACGCCCCGCTGCCCTGGGCGCAAGATCTCATGTGGGTTGGGGTGCCCTGAGCACCCTCATCCCACCCCAGGGGAGACCCTGGCCACCCCCACGTGCACCTCCTGGCCTCCCCCACGTGCACCCCTCCTGGCTGTTCCGGAGCAGCTGGCCCCTGGGTCAGGAAGAGTGGGGGCACTGGCTCGGATCTGGGGTAGCTCTGAGTTCCTGCTGGGTGGCTGCACCCGTGGGGAGACACCCAGGCCAACCCAGAGGAGAGACCAGAGCAGGGGTCCAGCGGGCTCTGCTCTGCTCTGCCCTCACCCTGGCCCTGCCACGGGGCGCCCAGTGGCCTGCAGCCTCCAGGACAAGGACGGGGCCGGAGTGGCGGGACAGTGAAGCTGAGATGCCTGCGCGTGGGGGGCCTCTCGCAGGCCAGCGCCAGCCAGGAAGGGCCCCTCTCGTCTCACCACAAGGCCGGCTCTGCCCCATGGGCTGTAAGCTGCTTAATTGCTCTGAGCCCGGGCCTCCTCCTGGCCTCCTCAGGGTCCTCCTGGGAGGATGAACGGAGATTAAAGCATTTGAAAGTGCTTAGGAAAGGATTTTGTTCTGGGGAAACCTAAGGATTGGCGTTGGAAGTGCACTGTGTGGGAGTGGGGCGGGAGAGTGACAGACCCTCTGAGCGACTCTCACCCGCCCCCCACCCCGGACACTGGACAGATGGGAAAGCCGAGACCTTCTGGCCACTGTAGGGTGGGCCGTGCCAGGCTCAAATTCCAGAGCTGGTGGGTTTGCTGAATGAATGCCGGGGTGGGGTACCCGCCCCTGCCACACGCCCAGCCCTCCCACCTGCTGCTCCCCTCCCTGCAGCATCCCCCACACACAGCGGGGCTGTCGCTCACATCACACCAGGGATGCCCTCTTCACTCCTGTGAATCCAAAGTCGACATCACCTACTAAGCCGCGCCATTGCCACCTCCTCCAGGAAGCCTGCCTTGATTCTATCAGCTGGAAGACTGTCTCCTACTCTGTCTCTTCTTTAATTAAGGTGCTAATTCGTCTCTTCATTCACTATTCTCTCAGCATCTGCTTGCTGACCCCTACTCTGGGTGGAGGCCTGGGCTGGGCTCTAAGCACAGGGAGGAGGGAAGTTCTTGCCTTCAGGGTGCTCTGGGACAGGCTGTCCACCGGCTCTGTGTTAGGGGGCTGGTCCCGTGCCCTCCTCTATCCGGTCATGAGGGTCCTGGGCTGGACCCCCTCAGCTGGGAGCCAGGACCTTGGCACTGGGGCTCTGGAGTCCACTGACTGAGCTGCCAGGCCAGTGCCCCGCCTGGGGCCCCGGGGCCTGCTGTGGGGAGCGGGGCTGCATGTGGCGGTCATCAGGTCACACTGACCACGTCCCTCCCTGCCCACTGGCGTGACTCCTGGCTGCCTCCTGCATCCGCCAGGGGGCCAGGTCCGGGCATCGGCCTGGCTGCCTGGGTGTCAAGAAGGGGATGTTCATGGGACTTCCTGGTGACGCACTGGGCGGGGGTTTTCCTTGGCAGATTTCGCCTCAGACCCGGCGCACAGTGTGCGCTTTACATGCGCTGCGGGCGGGGTGCGCGATGCCGGCGTCCCTGGTCCGTGTTTCGGGTAAAGGAACCGCAGCTCAGAGGGGCTCCCTGGGGCGGGGAGAGGGGGAGGGGCCTCCCCAGCCTCTGAGCCCGGGTCTGCAGCTCCCAGGGGCTCAGGGTGGCTGCGGGACAGTGCAGGCTGGAGGCAGTCTCCACCCTGAGTCCAGCTCTGCCACAGCCTCGCTGGCCATCCCAGGCAAGTTCCTCCACCAGCCACCATGTCCTCAGCTGCACCACGGGACCTGCGCGCCCCCTTGCAGGGTCTGGGGGTGCTGGCGGGGCCAGCCCCCCACCAGGCAGGCGTCTCTGGTGCCTGCTTCCTCCCGCCAGCCCTGCTGCCTCACTGCCCCCCTACGGGTGCAGGTCCTGGGGCGGGCATGGGGGCTGGGGCTGCGTCTCTGGCCCCCTCATGCTCTGCACACAGTCGGTGCCACATAAGTTTGCTGCCCAAAGATCCGGAACTCTGCCAACGCTCCAGCCTGGACCGGGCACCAGGCCCTGTCACTGCATGTGAACTTCCCCACGGCACCGCGCGGTCAGGCAGGGCCTGGGTGTGACCACGAGCCAGTGTCCGGCTCCTCCTCCCCAGGGGGGCCTGGGCATCGGTCTGGCCCCACTCTAGACACTTTGCCCTGGAAATTCCAATTCCAGGGCTCTGTGGGGTGGGCGTCCCTGAGTCCACTCGGCACCCTGGACGGACCCCTGACCCCCACCGACCCCACGTCTGGAGAGCACTTGCTCCTCTGTGGGGTCGGCCTGGGCGGGGAGAAGAGAGCTCTGCCAACAGCGTGGGGCAGCTCCAGTGTGGCCGTGGGGCGGCACTGGCCGTGCAGTGACCGCCAGCTGGACACCACTCCTGCCCCCACGGAATGTCCCCTGCCTCCTGCTCAGACACCATCCTCGGGGACACCCGCCCCACCCACCGGCGGGGCGCCCTTCCCATCCCTCGGGGCCCGACTGGTCCCACCAAGTCCTCACGACTGCTGCTTTCTGGAACATCCTCATTCCCCAGGTGAGGGGCCAGACCCGGGCAGGCGGGAGGGTGTCCCTGGCGCGCAGCGGGAGAGGCTGGCTGGGGTCCCGGTCGGCCGCAGGCCCCGCTCTGCTCTCCCTCGGGGCCAGCCCGGGCCTCGGGCAGCACCCCCAGCTCAGTTCACCCCCAATTAAGGCTATTACTCGACAGCCCTCAGCCTCTATCTGCTCCCCTGAGTTATTTGGCTGCACCACAGAGACAAACCTCCCTGGAACCCCAGCGCTCCCCCTGCCCACTGGAGAAACACAGAAATGTCACAGGGAGAATGAATCACTGAGAGTGGCAGGGCTGGGGGGCGGGGGAAAGCGGCCCTCAGCACACGGGCTAGAGGGCGCCCCAGTTTCTCTCCCAATCGGGGCCTCCGCTCCCGCTTCCCAGGAGCCTCAGGAACCCCTCCTTCCCGGGGGGGCACAGAGGGGTAGGGGTAGGGGCGGAGGGGGAGAGGGAGGCACCATCCAACGACCCACCCACCTACCCATTCCGTGTCGTGCGGCTGGCTGGGCGCTGGGCAGCGGGCAGGGGACTGCAGACAAGAGCTGAATAGGCCCCTCCCAGCCCTGGAAAGCCCAAGACCCACTTCCTGCAACT